TATAATTTGGCCATGGAGTATTTTCCACATGGACTAGTTTAATAATAAAACGATTTCAGTTTTGTGAACATTGTCTTTAGCAATTTGGAGATGTTCGAGTAAGCCAGCAGAAAGATGACAACGATTGGTTGTCACTTGGTCTTTACAGCCACACAGCAGTCTGGGAATGTGTCTGTGGGTTAAATTTTAATCTTTGGATTAGAAGATTTTAATAGGTAGCTTGGAAATGCATTCTTGCAAAAGGCCCTTTACAAAATCATGGGGATGCTGAGTCAAACCCGAAACTGTGGTTTATAACGCACCAACTTAATTCCATTCCTGCTCAAAATTCTGGAGCAGGGTCATCCGGCCCCACCAGCAGGACCTTGGCTTTATTCCCATCCTGGTACAGAACAACCCAGCTCCACCCCTCCCCGTATTAAAACTACTACTTTGTGAAAATATATATATACAGTAATTTGCACAGATCTTAAGTGTATAGCCTGAAGACTTTTGACAGATGTATACTCTCCTGTTACTATCACTCAAATCAAGATCTACATTATTTCTGTATCGCAGAACTGTCCTTCACACTGCTTGCCAGCCACTATCCCCACCCACTGCACCCAGAAGCAACTGCTGTTTGGACTTCTCACGCTGTAAATTGGCTTTCCTCAAATCTAAAATCTCACATAAACAGAATGGTGCATTATGTCCTCTGCAGTGTCTCGCTCTTTGGCTCTCCATTTATGCCTGGGAGATTCAGGCATGTTGCTGCATATTTCAGTTGTTCTTTACTTTTTACGTTTTAGTGGTTTTCTATTGTATTGGAGACCATTATGAATGATGCTGCTATAAACATTCTTGGACAAGACATTTTCAGCCCATGTGTTTGTTGCTCTTGGGCTTCTACCTGGGGGTGAAATGGCAGGGTCATAGAGCAGCACACACTCACCCTGGCCTTTCTCATTGAAGCTCTACCCAGACTCAACATTTTTTTTTTTTAGTTCCTAAGAAGTGCCCACTCTCAATCTTTGAGACCTTATTCATTCCCCCTCCCTTCACCTGAGTAATTTCTACCCATCCTTTAGGTCCTGATTTAGAAGTTACCTATCAAGGAGGCTTCCCTGGCTTCTACAGAAATCTACCAGGTTCTCCCTACTAGGAGCTCCCATAAATCCCGTTATCAGAAGCTGTGGCAACGGCATGCTCTTCATCTGTCTTCCTTCTGGCCTCTGCCATCCCTGGGGTACATAGTGCCTGTGTAGTCCATTGCTAGTGGTCCCACCCACTTCAGTTATCACCCAGCACCAGCCTCATAGGTGCTGAGTGCTCCATTAACACTTGTTGGCTAGATGGATACATGAACAGATAGTGAACAGAAGAGGCTTGGGGACATATTAGCCAGTCCAACAGTTTTCAAACTGTCTGTTTATTTCTAGTCTGATTTCTATCTCATACTTCTGTATAATATTTCATCGGAAGATAATATCCTTTAAAAAAATAACTTTTAAAATCACTGATCCAATCCCGGGCTCCCAAACTCAAAGATCCTCAGTGGCCAGGGAGTGTGATGGAACTAAGTCAAGTAGGCAGGTGTTTTGCATCTTAAACATACACAAATAGTTTTCACCTCCACAAGGAACTATGTTTTCTCTCATTTTCCTTGAAACACACAACCCACTCACTTACCTATTCTGAGAGCATAGCTACAAAAAAATGTTTATCCAGAAAAAGGAACTGCAGCAAAAAAAAGAAAGAAAGAAAGAAAGAAAGAAAGAAAGAAAGAAAGAAAGAAAGAAAGAAAGAAAGAAAGAAAAAAGAAGTAGCTGAGCAAATAAGATTATGTGGCAATTAACATTCATTTTTAAAATGACATTTTTGCAAAGAAGATATTCAAATGGCCAACAGGTTCACGAAAAGATGCTCAGCATCCCTAGTCATTCAGGCAATGCAAACCAAGATCACAGTGAGATAGCACCACACACCTGCCGGAGTGGCCAGCATCAAACGACAAGCGGTAACAAAGGCCAGCAAGGGCGTGAGGGACGGGGTGGGGCCCCTGCGCACGGCCCGTGGGAATGCGAACGGGCGTGGCCTCCACGGAAAACAGCACGGAGGGGCCTCACAAAGCTAAAACTAGAACGGCCGCATGAACCAGCTCAAGTCAGGTGACAAACCAAAAGCTCTGAAAATACATCCAAAATACACATCGAAAAGGTAGCTGCATCCCCACGTTCAAAGCAGCATTATTAACAGCCAAGACATGGAAACAACCTAGGTGTCCAGTGATGGATAAATGGATAATGAAGTTGTGGAAGGAAGAAAAAAAAAATATATATATATATATATATAATCATCCATAAAAAAATAAAGTGAGGAAGTCCTGCCATTTATGACAACATGGATAGAACTTGAGAGCATTAGAGTAAATAAAATAAGATAGAAAGACAAATACTGTATGATTTCAATTATATCTGGAATCTAAAAGAAACAAAACTCTTGGAAAAGGAGATCAGATTCGTGATTACCAGAGGTGGGTGGGCGGGGGAAGAAAAAACTGGAGGAAGGAGGTCAAAAGCTTCCAGGTACGAGCTGACCACCAGGGATGCGACGCAGAGCAGAATGACTGCAGTTACCACGGCTGCATGGCCTGCAGGAACATTAAGACGGTACGTCCTAAGAATTCTCATTTCCAGGAGAATTTTTTTCCCGTGTTTCTACTTCTTTTTATTGTAGCCATGAAATGATGGATGTTAAAGCTTCCGGTAGTAATCATGTCACAACACGTTTAAGTCACACCTGCATGCTGTGCACCTGAAACCCATGCAGTGACGTGCGTCAATTATGTCTCAATAAAACTGGAAGACACACTCGTTTTTAGGGTCAGCGGGACAACAGGAAGGGGTGGTGATTGTGGCCATCGATCGAAAAGGGCAACTTCACTGCGATGTCAGCCTTTCGCGGCCATGTGGTGCTATGAACAAACAGTATGACCACATCTTCTGCGTTTTCTAGATAACCCAAGTAGTTCCCTCTTGCTTATCAAAAGCTTTCTTTTACAAATAGTGCCAAGTAACAACAAGATGGCAGAGGGTTTGCTGCACGCAGAGAAAGCGCTCCGTGCTGCAGGAGGCCCGGGAACGTGTCCACCATCCATGAGCCACCACCTGCGGGCCACAGACATTAACCACCAAAGTGACCTAATAACCTACTTTGTGAGAGTGTCCATATATAAAATAAGAACAAAAGCAGCAATGGAAGGAGACTCGACTTGGGGTGGTGAACACACAATACAACGTGCAAAGGATGGATTGTACCGTTGTACACCTGAAACCTATAAATTGTATGAACCAATGTCACCCCAATAAATTCAATTAAAAAAATAAAAGGACGAAAGCAGCAACAGTAAGAGCCAGCACGTGCTGAATGCTTCCCGTGTGCTGAGGCGGGCTAAGGGACGTACAGCCTGCCGTTTAATTTTCACGACGGCGCTCCAGGAAAAGTACTCTCGTTATCCCCGGGTCCCAACTTATGACGTGTAGGCCCAGAGAGTTACTTGTCCAAAGTTGTAAGCAAGTGAATGATTAAAACAAGATTCCAGTCCGCCCTGCCAAGGAGCAGCCAAAGGGCAGCGTTTCCCTTTCCTTCACCTTGTCTTCCAAGCATAACGCTGTATTTATTTGTCTGATCATTCGATAAAGGTCTGGTTGAAAACAAACCCTGAACTCAGGAGCCAGGATCCTTTCATGCAGCTTTTGTTGCTCACCATCTGCTTGACACAGAACAAGTGCTCAGGGACACGTGTTGTTATTGAATGTCCAAGTGAATAAGGCAATGCCTTACAATGTCTTTGGTGTCAGCTCTTCGCCGACCAGAAACCAGACCAGTCTCCCCATAACCTAAAATAGCAGACTCTGTGAATTTGCTTGGAAAAAGGCAAATTGTGATTCATAAAAGACTGTTTGGTTTTCCTAACAAAGCTTTTCAGGGGGCATGACATATGATGAATTTAAGAATTTGGGAGACGGGAAATTATTTGAGAACGTGGGATCTAAGCAGCTTCCAAATGAAGATCAGTAAGAAGATGTAGCAGCGCAGACATTGTCCTGGGTGCGAGGGGGAGACGATGGGACACAAAGCTCTGTTTCTAGGCCCTCTCCTGTGGATGGAGGTGTCTGTGCACCCCGTGGCCAACAGATAGTCTCAGGTGGACCTACGCAAGGCCTGTGTGAGTTCCCATGGACGCACAACCAATATTTCCATGTTTGTTCTTAGTTCATTCCCAAATGTCTAGACTAAAAATATTAATGTTTAGCACTATCATTTAATCATCAGAGAGTGGGCGTGTTGCAATGTCATTTGTAGGATCAGGGACAGATGTTTTGAGGGAAGAGAGGGGAGGAAAAGTGTCTTAAATATTCCTTTTTTGCCTAAAGCCCTCCCTCACCCAGTTTCAGGGCTTCTCCTGGACTTACCAAATGTTGCCACGTGAAGATAAAAACAATCTTTTTAAAAAAAATGATCCTGGGACTTCAGCAAGGCATTCAGATGCAAAGTGGAATTAAACCCAGGCTGGTGCTAAGCTGCCTTCAGGTTTCTAAGGACCAAGTCACTATTTGCTAAGGCAATTTGATTTCACGTCCACAGGAGAGTAGCGGGTAAGATGTTTCTTGAGAACACAGTGGCCTGCACATCATGCCGAGAAGCGCTTCTGGAGGCCAGTAGTCACACATGCTGCATTTCAGGGCAAATTCTGCTGCAAAAGTGAAGATGAGAATTCTTGTTCTTTTCCCATCTTTCCCATCTTATGAGAACATAGGGATGGTCCATGGACAATGAGGAGGTCAGGAGGGTTCTGGAAGGCCCAGGGAATGGCTCTGACAGCCATAAAAAATGTTCTCCTTGGAATATTTAGAGTGTAAAATACAGCAGGATGGTTTATTGGACAATTAGTATCAAATCCAAAATGTCTGTTATCATTTTAAAAGAACGACAGACAAGGGCTTCCTTGACTTGGTAACATTTATTCAATATTCTTTGAAATTAGCAAGAACCAGAAGAAGCACATATCAATCAAATACAGCCACAGAAATGTCCTGGATATAAATAAAGATGCACTATGAGGAATACTACAGACGGGACCAGTACCCCCTTACATTTACTACCTCTTAGCAACGAACAACTCCAACATAAATTTAGTTTACTCACAATAAAAAAAAAAACCTTGACTTTTTAAACAAAATATAGATCCAATTCCATCATAATTTGCCCTACTAGGCCCTCCCATTATGTACGTTGTCAAGGCCTAGCTTGACGACTGTTACGAAAATGACAAACACAAACTCAAAAGAATGTTTCCGCAAGGTTCAACAAAACAGTGCAGAAATAAGTTACTTACCCATGCACAGAATAAGGCAAAGGCTAATTTCATTCGGGTTAGGAATAGTAAAGGTAACTAGTTTCTTTTTCACAAAACAAACATTTCAGACTTCTTTTTAAGTAACGGGTATACTGTACTATGCGTCATACTCTACGTGTTTCCTAACTCTACTCAGAAAGCCGGCACTCGCACGTCAACTAGAAACTTCTCCTTGATTAGACTTATTCTGGAACAACCACAGAAATTAATCTGGGTGTCATGACAGTGTGTACCATGGAAAGACCACACACTAGTCAAAGCATATGGTTTAGAGCTGAAAGTACATTAAAACGTAGTCTATGGACGTCTCAAATTTTGTTTTTAAAATATTTTTTTCCAAACTAAAAGCTGCAGAAAAATTAGTTCTTAAATATTCTACTGAAAACTCTTGAGCAGCTATAACATTTTAAATTTCTTAAGCTTTTTATTTTCTTAAAAATATTTAAATGAGTGTAGTATCCCATCTTTTTGAAAAATAATCCAAAAAAATGATTACAAATCTTTTGTTTTAATCAGTGTGACCAAGGGTTTGTCATCAGGGCTGTAGTCCTCATAGGCGATGGGCGTCACGTCATACATCGCAGGCCGGGATTTCTTTCCAAACCTAAAGTCACAAGAAGAGAGGACTCCAGTTAGATATATATTGGATCTCAAATCCTATTAAGGGAAAATGGTAAGAATAACTTATATTCAAGAATCCAATGGAAGTATAAAAATATATTCTCTAGCAATTACAGAAATTTAAGACTTCCTCATAGTAACATTGAATGAGTACAAATATTAGTCTTCAGTACAGGAGGCAAGACATGGATTTCACCAAACACAGGGTCCAAACTAATGCTGAAGCCTGTAGGCTGAATCTTGGCAAAGCAGTCAGGCATGTAGGATTTAAAAGAACGTGTATTAATTTGTCTTTTTCTTTTGAGATCCAAAAGGATCGGGAGAGGCAAGTTTCTTTGACATTCAGGGTAGAGCCGGCGTGCTGAGTGGCAGGGTGGTCCTCCCTGGCCCAGGGGCAGACAGCCTCTCCGTGGGACTTGCAGGAAGGCTGTGAAGGTTCAGCAGTCATCTGAGGTCCCAAGACAAGGAGAAGCGACAAGGGAGGAAATGACCTCAAATGACTTCAAATTCTGAGTTTGTCCACAGGATGTGCCATCCAAACCCATCCCCCTATTGGTCCCCAACACCCAGGTACACACACGCCGTTGTTTCTTCTCTGAGTACAAAGCCATTGCCCCAACAGGTTTGTATATTTGTTTATTTCACCTTCCCGAACAGCCCCTGGCGGGCAACAGCGTTTAAACAATCTTCCACACTAACCCACCACCTCTCCTGCCTTTTGGAGACAACATTTTAAACTCTTTCATGTCCAATGGGTTTCATTAGAAAAGAAATTTTAAAAGAAGCTAAAATTTTAAAAAGGTTGCTAGGGCGACCACCCTAGGACACCAAGGGGCATTATTTCCCATGGCTTATATCTAGTCTTCCCCATTCCTGTTTCTTCCTTTCATATCTTGAAAAGTCTGTCTTCTCATGTACAGAGGTGAAAAGTAGAATCGAGTGGGAAATGAGAAACGTTGCATTTTTCATGTGACCTTTTATTTTTAAATAGTCTTCAATCTTGTATTCCCATTCTCTCAAGATTTACTGGCCTTCGGAAGCACGTGGGCATAGACCATGTCAGATGGACACCACACAAAATGCAGAAATAAAAAGCTAGAGCGTGCTGCCACCGAGAAACCACAGCTATCATTGCAATGCTGAAAAAGCCTTCCGTAAAAGCATGTCTGAAAAGCAACGCCTCACCAAAGGGCTGGGATTGTGCATAAATTGTCCAGCCCGCAGTCTGTGTCTCTAAACTGAGTGAGGCCTGCGTAATCCGAGGCTCAGAAAAGGTACACCAGCATAAACGCCAGCTGGGTCTTTCTTCCAAGTCTGAAAATTTCCAAGGGTGCTTTAAGGTGCAAATATTTGTACAAGCTATTTCACATAAAATAACTGGGTACTCTGGTAACAAGACACCACCAATAATGCTAATTTAATTAATTTTAATTGCATAAAATATTTTGAAGCTATAGAAAAGTGTCATGTAGGCCAGAGGGTTAGCACCCTATAGCCTCCAAGCCAACTGCAGCCTGTTGCCTGTTTTTTAAATAAAGCTTTATTGGTACACAGCTGTGTTCAGTTGTAATCTCTCTGCTGTTACAAAGGCAGAGCTGAGTAGGCACAGGGACTCAGAGACTGTATGGCCCTCACACTGTAGTATTTTGAGGCTCTAGATGAAGTGTAGAGTCCCACTCTCCAAAGGAGTTACCATAGTTCTGGCCTCATTAACCATCATGGAAGCACTAACAGTCACAGCAGCAACAGTATCCACGTGACAGCATCTCAGATATCCTATTTGGTGACAAGTTTGGTACACCTTATTTCACGAAAAAACAAAACAAAACAAAACAAAAAAACCAAGATACCACAACCAGTTACAGGGCTGATCACAGAGTGGACATTCTTCTAGTTCACATTCCCCTGAAAGTCAACAGCTCAAACAACACTGCAGAGAGCGTCAGAGGGGTCTGACTGGAAAACGGCCCAAGTCAGGAGATGCTATTTAAGAAAAAGGGACTGTGTCCTTCTATAGCTCGCCTTTTGTTTGTTTTCTGTGATCAGGCACTCAGAGCTGGTGGAGCAGTGAGCGATCCAGTGTGGCCGCAGCTCCAAAGCGGAGAGAGTCATGGCGTTGTTCCGGCCAATCACACACTCTCCCCATCCTGAGGGAAGGCAAGGCAGCCGTAGAACAGACGACCCTTAGGACAAGAGAGAGGGGCTCCCTCTCAGTCCAGCACCAGCATCCACTGATTGCTGACATTAGAGTCACCCCGCCCTTGCTCAGTTACTCGTGAACGTCACAGATGGCTCGCTCGGTTGTCACTCTGTATGGCTGCTGAGCTGTATCATTCTGATCCAATGTCCCTTCCAAGCTAGCGGCAGGGAGACAGGCCATTCAATGAGCTTCAGGTACAGGCCACTGCTGAAACGAGCATGAAGGTAATATCAAAATATTCTGTTTTGTCAATACCCTTCCAGGGTTTCCAGGAAAAGAGAGCACAAAGGACCAGCCAGAGACTCCGCCTGAGCCTCTGGAGAGCCATGCTGTGGCTCAGCACAGGTTGTAACAGAATAAAACTTTCGATGGGAACGTTCCCAGATGTGTGGGAAGATACTGCTTTAACTTCAATGGTTTTCTCTGCAGTCGTTGGTCCATGTAGGAGCTTGTTGGTTAGGAATTCTGCAGTAAATATTTTTTGGTAAAAATTGGCACCGAGTAAGAACCAGGTTTGTAAATGCTTTCAAGTATATCTTTTCCTTCTGAGAGTATTCAGTAAATATCTTCCCAGTGGGCTCTATAAGCCGGAAGCCCAGGACGACCTATTTTAAACCAGTCTGAGGCTGAAAGAAAATACTTCCTCTTGAAAGGATCTTACTTAGCTAGAGACCCTCCTGGGGGCAGGAGAACCCAACATCTCAGTATGAAGGCAGAGACTCTGCTCCTTCCTGGTGCACTGAACCCCTCCAAGGACCCTTGAAAAACAAATGAACTTATCTGTTCTCCTCTCTTTTTCTCATCCTTGATCTCTCATGCACTGATTTGGGGACGCTGCCAGGTTCCTGCAGGTTGGTGCCACTCGCCAGGCTGGAGTTCTGCGCTGAATCTCTACCAGGCAGATGAAGACGTCCTCCATCAACCACTAACCAAGATCACCCATCCATTTCAGACCAAAGTTGAGTAAGGCTTCCCATTTTAGTAAGGTCTGCTATGTGCCAGGGCCCATGGAGGTAAAGTAATAAAAAGCCACTGCTCTTTAAGCACAGACTAGTTGGGAAGCGAGTCGAATAAACAATTACGATGAGATTTGCAGGGACTGGTCTCAGGGCCTCCTGAAAGCTGTGTTGCAGAGTTGAGTCTTAAAGGAAGGAGCCAATGACAGGCAGCTGCGTCAGGCCTGACTTAGAGAGAAGTGAACTCTTCTCTCACTCATAGTTGCAGGAGGGAGACTCGGGCAGGTGCCGGGGCAGATGTTCTGTGTCTGCCAACCGGCTCCTCTGCATGGAAGCCGGGGTCTATATTTTTGCTTCCCCTGATGTGGCAAGATTGCTGTAAGATCTGGATGTTGGGTTTGCGGTTTCCTTTTGAAACAAGCAAACCTTCTGAACTTCTGAGCTTCTATGCCATTCAGAAAGAATTTGGATCAGCTTGTATCTTGATCAATATCAGTATGTGAAGACCCCATCATTGCAGCTAAGAGATCCCGTGAGCCCCAATCTTCAGAGGCCAAGCTCTGCCCGCTTTTTACTGTAGCGCACTGGACTTTCTGAATTATGTGCTTTAGCTGGTTTTATCAATGAAAAGGAAAGATGGTGTTCTTTAACATGCAGTATCGCCATTTTTGTTTTTGGTAATAAGTATTCTTTGCAAAAGTCAACAAAATGTTAGATTAGCTGATTTTCTTAGTGTTATGATAGATTTGGAGAAGCATCTGTCTACACAATCCTTTATCCTCTGTCATTTAATTTGATTGTCATAACTCCCCTAGGAGGTAGTTAATCCTTTCTACAGTTGAGGAAACTGTACGGTGGGAGGCTGAATAACCTAAAATCTAGAGTCGGGTAATGGAGTAGTTGGGGCTCCATGAAGTATCTCAGACACCAGAACTCACATCCTTTAGTGACATCACACCAAACTGCTTGTCCCTCTGCGAGTCTTCCAGAAAAGGACCTGGTTTATATAACACAAACCCCAACAGAGAAATGGTAGCTGTTTGTCACTTTTAAAGTAAGCCCTTTAATCAAATGGAATAATTTAGATCTATGCTGACTGTTTGAAGAGCAACACAGCTAAAGACATTCCAAAAGAGAAATCATCTAGAAATGATTCATATGCAGTGATTAAGAATCGGGTATTTTATAGCACAGATGAACACAAATTGAATGAATGACTGTATCCAGGGGAAACAGAAAGCTAGCAGCAAATGAAAAGAGTCTTGCTTATAAAGCAGCCTCATTATCTGTCCCCCAACAAAACTCAACAGGCTCAACAGCACCTTGAACCTGGGCGTTACTCTGCGAGATCTTCTTTGTGGGTGTAAAGTACTAATTACAACACAACTCTGGCCCTGAGAGGCACATGTGAAAACAGCCTCTCCCCTTGCCCCCCGCCTGCCCCCGCAGCGGCCCACCTGGCATGCCGGATGGAGGCGATGGCGTTGCTGAACTCGCTGTCGATGCTGCGGCAGTTGTAGAACTCCTCGTAGGCTGGCCGGGCAGAGCCCTGGTACTCGATGCGGCTGATGCGGCAAATGCCCACAATCAGGATGATCAGCATCAGGATGAAGGCGACGCACAGCGCCCCGATGATGATGTAGAGGGAGTGCCGGGGCATGTTGGTGAGACTCTCTGCCATGTGCCCGGACTTCCACTGCAGGTCTGAAAGCAAAAACAAACAAATGGCTGGAGACGAGGTGTGGCCTTTGGCATGGGAAAGTCTTTCCTGCCCTTGCCTGGGTGACTTAAAATTTAAGGACTATCCATACTGGGAAGGTTTACTTTCTCTGGATCTTCCAGATGCAGAGCTAATATCCTTAATATATAAGGACCTTTCATAAATCATTAAGAAAAACCATGAACATGCCAAAGAAAAATGGATTAAGGATGTAAAAGGAACTCACCAAAGAAACACACACAGAACACTGTTTAACTTCATAATCATTTTTTAAATGCAATTCCTCTATCAGCTCCCAAACATTACTTAAAATTTTTGATAACCACAATTGATAAGGGTACAGAAATGGGATCTGCAGAAATTGATACACAACGCTTATGTTGATGAAAGGGTATATTTTTGTATCCCAAAGGTCCAATTTTTAGACTTTATGCTGGGGAATTTGTCCTATAAGTGCACAAAGCCCTGTGTATAAGAATGTTCATCTCAGCATCATAATTTTTAAATGTTAAACTATCAACTATTACACATTTAGAAAAACATTCAGAAAATAAGCCCCCATATCCACATACTCACCAACGTTAATAAATGTTCATAGTTTAGTAGTTTTGCTTTAGTGTTTTTTCTCAAGTAATAAAATGTTACAGATATTGCTAGGTACCCACTCCCACTCTCTCTCTTCAACCCAAAGTAACAACACAATTAATACAAGTAAAAAGGTGGGAAACAACCTAAATATTCAACTCTCAGTGAGATGGAGAAATGCTCATCAAATAGCAAAAGAATTAAAGATGGTTACCAAGCAGGACCTGGTTGTATAGTACAAGCACACGCAAGCTTCAGATATCTGTCTACGCTGAAAAGCTCAGAAGAAGAGTAATAACAATGATCAGCATTTGTTGTTTTCTTACTATGGACTAAGCTTTTTGTAAACATCTCATTTAATCATTACAACTGCCAGAAGATGGATTATTCTCTCTGCCCACTTGATGGAGGAAGCCTAGGAATCCAATGTCACTTCCCGGGGAAGCTTGTCAAATGCAAGCCTTAATTCATGATCTTAGCCTCTGCCTCACACCGAGAAAGGTAGAATTACAAGTGATTTTTATTTCCTTCTTCACACCTTTCAGGCATTTTCCAGCGTTTTTAAAAATAGTGTATTTCTTTTCTGTTAATGTAAAAATAAGCAATAAATTATTTGACGAAAGCACCCGTGGGATTATTTTCCAGTGTAACAAGCCGGAGTGTGGTCCCTGGGATCACACCAACCTTGCTTTCAATCCTGGCTGTGACCTTCACCTGAGCCTCCCTGAGCCTCAGAGAAGTTGCCTCACGTGGCAAAGAGGCTGCGTCCTCTGCTTACACTGCCACCGCCACCACCTCCAGGCCATCGCTGCCACGTTAGGACTCTGGATGCCTGAAAATGGGACTCAGGGCGTGGGTGGGAAGGGGCCTGGGCCTATCTTCCAGGGAACTCCTCCGGACTCTTCTCACTGGTGCATTTTAGGAAGCCTACTTGCAACCTCTGGGCACTCACAGCCTCATCTTAGCCACATCTTCAGTGACCACAGAATCCGAGAAGCTGCCGTTCTTTACCTTGAAAAGTCACAGTGTGCAGAAGGACACAAGGACCCTAAGCATACAGGTCCCTTTCCTGGAAGCCTGGTGGAACAATGGCCCATGCCCCAAGCCTGGATGGTTCCTGAGAGTTTGAGAAGAATGGGACAACTGACGTGACTTCTGAGTTTGCATCCAGATCTGCCGACTCCTGAGGGCTTCACCAACACTTGCCCTCAAAGTCTAGTTTTGCTGTGTGAGTTCACAAAGCCCGCAGAGCTCACAAAACCCCCAACGCCCATGGAGCTGACCATCAGTGAGTTCACGGCTCCATCGGTGCCAGCTCACACACAGGCAGACGGACCAACAGAAATCACTGAAGAGATGGTCACGATGGAAAAGAGAAAGTGTTTCTGTGAAACGAGAACCAAGACTCTATGCCCAGACCAGCAGTCATTTCATTTGGCATTACCTGGTGCACATGGAGAGGGACAACTCATTTTTCTGGCTGAAAGAGAAGCGTGACTCACTTGATTTCCAAGTATTTCGACATTCTCTGAAAAATTCAGCTGCAGGCTGGAGTCCAACACTCACAGAGCCTGCGCTGACAGCAGTTTAGCATCAACAGAAAGGCAGCCGGCGCCGTCCTCCGCTCCAGCCTAGTGGAGGCTCCGGTCTGATTGCTACAGCAGCACCACAGGAGTTACAGGATCTCATGGCTGATGCACAGCCTCACCTAAATAGCTCACACGTCACACTGTACACACTGGGGGTGCACAACCACAAGGCCGTGACAGCGCAAAGACAACTGTACTGGCTCGTGCGCTCGGCACGTTGTCCCAGGCCTGATGAGCTGCCTAAACTGCTTGCGTTTCTGACCATCTGCTCTGTTTTCCAAAACTCTGCGTTCCAAGCTGTTTGGACTTTCGGGAAAACTTTCTTAAAATTTCTCCTAAAACCTCGGCTCTCCGGCTCTCGCCCTGCCCCTCCCTTTGCTTTCCTCGCCTTACCTTCACCTAAAATTGCTCTGACAATGGAATGGGGCTGCCTTACTGGCTAACTAGGTGAGTAGCCAGGCTGGGTCTGAACAAATCCAACACTTGGTCTGAGAGGCGGCAAATATTCCGCACCAGGTGGCTGCAGCTGCCGCCTCCTTGTCCAGGAGCGCTCCTCGTATGTCATCGCTCAGCCGCATCCCGGGGGTCCCTCTGCATGAATCACTTATTACACCGGCCACAGCATGGCTCAGGGAAGAATTGTGCACCAGCCCGTGCTGGGGGGGATGACCTCCGCGGCCCCAGCAGGTGCATGGCCAAAACATGCACACAAACTGCTCAGGAAAAACTGCCCCACTTAACGGCTCTGAGGGATCATTTGTGTTTTGGGTTTAACTCAATTTGTTTGAGGTTTTGTGTTTTCCAACGGGCTTTCACATTTAACTTTTTTATTGATTGAATGCATAAATCCAAGATAGCCTATTCTCCTATTTCTTACCTGCAGAATATCAGTAATTCAATAGTTTAACCACAGATTCAACTGTTTCGTGTCTGTAATTTGCAAACTGCCAATCAGCAAGGCTGAGTGTACCTCTGACTGCATGAACCTTGCAGCCCCTATGCAGATGATACAAAACAGCAGGCTGTAAAAATTCACAGGAACTTGGATTTTTAGACCTTTATTCCAGGAAGACAAAAATTTTATTAAAATTTTTTAAAAACTGGATCAGTCCCAAGGTTGTAAGAAGGAGTGGCAGAAAATTAAAACCTTACCAGGGTTGTTTGGTTAATTTCCAGAATTTAGGGTTTGCACTTGCCTGAGAATATGCGAACACGAGAATTATTTGAATGATCCCTTTAGGGTAGTTTTGGATCAATTTGGTGATGGTTTTGATAAATCGGTATGATCTGCTTGATTTCTGCCTTTTTTTTTTTTTTACTGATTCGGTGCCAGATAGTACCTCTAATGGGGCAGATTTCTAAGACACGTTTATTATTAAGATGAACACTGGGCGCAGGAGGCAGCCCAGAACTGGAACCAGTGAATTTGTATTAATTTGCATGTAACTCCTACTGTGGCAGCAGAGTCTCTCGGGACAGCTGCTGAGAGGTTGGTTCCTTCTCACTTGCCGGGCCCTTCGCTGTGAGGTGGTCTCAGTTTTCAGGATGTGCGTGAACTCAGGCTGAGATCTGGATGCTGAGGAGAAGACAGCTGTGCTAAAATGCAAGGGAAGAGGACTCCCAGCCTCAGGAACACCGCAGGCAAAGACCCTGAAGGCAGGAATAAACTTGGCCTGTTCAAGGAAGAGAAAGCAGGACCCTGTGGCTGAAGCAGAGTAAGGGAGGGAGGAGGGCGAGGTGGCCTGGGGAGGTCAGGCCAGAGGGGCTCCATCTCCGCCTTTGACAACGCAGCGGCCATCCAGGCCACGTAGCTGCGTGGGTCGCAGCTCTCTCCCTTCTCTGTGTAAACCTGAGCTTCCCTGTTCAGATCAACCGACCAGAACCTGTACCATCCAGGCACCCTCTTCCTGGCTTCTGGCGCCTTCAGAAGCTCCCAGATGCTCAGGGTTAGAAAGAGACCTCTGTGGGTCCATAGCCCACACAGGACTGGGGCCTCTTCTGCCTTCCCTGCTCACTGAAGAGCCGGACCCTGCTTGCATCCTGGTCCTTGGATTCCTTCCATTTGATTCAGATCCAATTCTCCAGACCCTGGCCACCAGCTCCAGCTACAGGTCACGGCAAAGCTCCCACATGTGTTCTCCATTGTTATATTCGGGTCAAGGGCACCCAACAGTGGGACCTGCAGCACCTACTCTCGGATGACACTTATTTTAACACATTGGCTGAAAGGAGAGATGCAAATGGGATCATCATACAGAAACAAGGCACACAGAGAGCCCGAGTGTGGACCAGCTTGTGTGATAGGCCCACCCGCCCCCGGCCGCTCAGGGTGGCCCATGCCCTGCACGTGAATCTTCTAAAAAATAATTGCAGAGGTTCATCTAGACCCCAGGAATAGCTTATAGGACCAGCACTACAATAGAGGAGAATTAGAGAGAAAAGGCAAGTAGCATTTATTTAGTGCCTACTGCATAGCAGAAATATGCACATATTTGCCTCCTTCAATCCTCACAGCAACCTCATTTATCACTGCTTTGCAAATGAGAAAACAGGGTTCCAAGAGGTGAATTTGTTTGTATGGGTCACATAGCTAGACTATGGTGGAGCTAGAATATGAAGCCACCTTTTGCCCTTTTCATTACTTGATATATTTTGTCTATATTATCATCACTGAAGGAAGAAAAATTTAGATTTTATATCCTGTGTGTTCCTGACTTCCTTTCCATATTCTCCTATATATTTATCTGTACAATTAAAATTTAAAAGGGTATAAAAATAATTACTTTCCTTCCTTCTCAAGCGTTGAGCCAAGAGCAAGAACAAAAAGTGAGCAGATAAGAGCCTAAGTGGTACCTTCACTGTTGGTCAAGTTGATGCTGGAGAACGTGGCCCATACTTGTGAAGAGCAAGGTTTCCTAATACTGAACAACCCCCCACCTCCACACACACATCGACACACACTGAGAACTAGCCATTCAGACAGAGGCCGTGCGGACCAGTGAGCGTCCTGTCCTTGAACCACTCAGCGGGGGGGGGGGGGGGGGGGGGCGCCCCGCAGGCAGCAGACTGGCCTGCTCAGGCGGGAGACTGACAGGTAGACAGGCAGGCAGGCAGGGCCCTGCATAAGTACTTGCCCCCTCCCAAACTCACCAGCGGATGGGCAGTCTTTACCAGCAGATGGGTAGGGGAGGAGATGAGAGGCCCCAGGAGGGAGCTTTTATGAAACGTCCGACTGCCCTGACTCATTTACCTAAGAAGAAAGCACCTTTGAAAGTTCAGTTTTCAGCAGTTTACAAAACAGAGGAAAACCAGAACGCTCGTCAGTTCTCCTTTTCACTTCAATCCTAGCAGATACGTTATTCTTTAAGGTATAAAATCTCGATGGCTACATTTCAAACTTCTGTGGGTCCCTCCTTAGAGAACACCTAGCTCTAGGCAGCTCAAAATGTTTTTCAGATTCTTTTCTGCTCATTCTCGCTGGACCTTTCTCCAAGGAACTGATGGAACCTAATACGTTTGAAGACACTCAAAGACCTAAAGGCAAAGTGAATTTACATTTGGTGGTGTGTTTTTGGTTTTTTTGTTTGTTTGTTTTTTACATTTTCCACACAGAGACCGCACTTGGTGCCCCGGTTCCGACGCGTCTCCGTTGAGCACGCTTTTGGCTCTCAGCCGCCTTGAACTCTGGATGACACCCGCACACCCTCGTCCCAGGGCAAAGGCTGAATTCCGGCTCAGGAAGCACAGGCGGCGGCGGCAGCGGCAGCGGCCCGCGTGCCACCCTGGGGCTCAGGAGGCCTGGACTCGGGCGATCCCTGGGCCCCACTGCCCTGCCGCTGTGAGTGACCCGGAGCTCGGTCTGCATCCCCTTCTTGGTGGCTGAAAACAGGAGGCGCGGGGGGGCCACGTTAAATGACAGTGGGCAAGAGGCGGGAGTACTTACGGATCTCACAGTTTGCCCCCACCCAGCCGTGTGGGCAGTGGCAGGTGTAACCATTGGGCTGGTCCAGGCAGGTGCCCGCGTGATGGCAGGGGTTACTGTCACATTCATTTATGTCGATGTCGCACTCTTCACCTGCGGAGATGAAGGAGCATGGAGGTGAGGCCGTTAGGTAGCAGCTGGGAATGAGTGGCCGGAGGGAAATAACGGCAGGGCCCTCGCTGTGACAATCTAACAAAGAACTTAATACAGGAGGCTGGACGCAAAAGGAGACAGGTCTCACCAACTAACCCAGCAGTCCTGAGCTCGGTTTGATGAGGCTGCGGGTGTCCCGGGCACTGCAAGCAAAGCAGCAGGAGGAGGGGCGAGGCCTTGAGCCTGTGCTGAGAAAAGGCGCTTCTGCAACAGTGTTACTATCTGAGGGTCAGGAGCAGGAATTACACAGCAGGAAGGGGGGGTGCGTCTGCTGGGAAAGGGGGCCTCTGTAACGATGTCATGAACTAGGACAAAGAGCCTTTACTAACTGAGAAAGAAAGCCTTTGTAGCTGCACATTGTTCCCAAGATTTAGAAGGGGGAGAAGGAAGGGACCTCTGGAAGCTAGCTAAGGTATATAACCCCTGAACCCTAATAATCAATGTACCTAGATTAGTTAAGTACCCACTTGTAGCCTCAGCTCAAGTGTAGAGGACAAACTTATTAACAAACTTACTGACAAACTCACTAACAACTTTATGGGTGCCTGCTTACAGCCTTGCACTTGTGTGTTTCATAAATGTTCTCATTTCCACTATGTGTGTTTGTCTCTCACTTGAATTCCTGTCTTGCGGGGCGAGAGAAGAACCCAGGCGGGGGAGGGAGCCTCTTGACTCGAGTCTCTCTCCCCACCTGTAAGAAGACCACTAGCTGCACCGGCGGCTCCCTCACCCATCACTTCTCTGGCAAAGCAAAGATGCAAGCCTGGGGTCCGGCAACGGAGCCCAATTTGCTGTTTGCATAAAGTGCAGAACTCTCCTAAAATTCCAGACAAAGGATCTTTAATTAAATAAAACTGCTCAAGAAAAATAGCACTGGTAAAAAAAAAGAGTTTTCTTTAATCTACTGAACTAATTAACTAAAGCAGATTCCTACGTCTGAACAAGCCTTCCGAAGTTTATCGGGAAAGCCAATTTGGGTTCCTAATTTCATTAAGGACTCTATTTTATTTTGTACTTAGCCAGCCGAATCTTCATATTTTCTGACATCTCGGATAGCGGCAAACTCTGAGTGGATGATTTTTTTGTAGCCAAGTGTCTGGATGTGAGTCTGGACATGTGACTTCTCTGGAGCCTTCTAGGGCACAGCGGTGTGCCTAGAGTCAGTCAATTATGAAGATCTCCTCCACTTTCCAAGCTTCTGGATGCGCTCCTCAGAGCGACGGAATGGCTGAGGAGGGGCAGCCGGCCATCAGGGGAGGCCGTTGTGAAGTCTGGGCTGGATAGCATCTTCCCTGGGAAATGGTGGCCCAGGGGAAGTTCACGTCCCCTCCAGCCTGTTCCCGTCCAGAACTGTGACCTGCAGTTTGCCCCTGCCTAGACCCAATGTTCTGCGGCACCCTTGGTCCCCCGAGGGAGCGCCTGGTTTTAACTTACGAACCGGAGCACGAGAAGGTATCGCTGCGATTCGAACAGGAAGCAGCCTGTTATCGGAAGGGACATGAACAAAGCCATCTCCATGTGAATTAAAAACCCTGCAATGAGTCGATACAAAATGGGCACGCTTCTGACATTTAAAGCTGTCTCATCCCAGGCTGAATGAAAGAGGATACTTCGGGAGGCGACCTCTCTTCAAAGTTTGAAAACAAGAAAAAAACAGTCTTTTGAAATACGCCTCCATTTGCTTAGATAAATGTAAAAGGTGATATGAAAACAAAACAAAAAACAAGAAAACCTCTCCTAGCACTGCTGTAGTTCTAGACTAAAGGAGCAAAATCAAATATTTTGTCCATTTTCAAAGGCAATGTTTCAGTGTACACTTGGGTAATTACTTCCAGGCTTCCTTAATTAGCATTGAAGTGCTTTTCTCTCTGCTATTGGTTTCACTCACGTTTATAAAACCACCATATGTCACCGCAGACCACTTTAGAGGAAGACTCTCACACTAACATATTTCACGTCTGTTTCATTTCACACGCTTTTCATACCTGGCATCTGATTCTTTCATTTTTAAAGTAAAATCTGTCAAACAAAACATTTACTACTTCTAGGTCCTACTAGGGTAACTACAATTCAATAGTGTCTATAAGTAAATTTGTTTCCTGCAGTAAATATAAATCGTTTACATCAATAGAAAAGACGTGAAATTGATTGCCTCTTACCTATTTCAAGGGCTGACTTTCTATTGATGGGCAATCGCTCTTAAGTGAGAAGGGTAGAGGCTAAGCTATTCCAAATGGCATCACGTGGTAGACCAGCTGAAGAGATATAAATAAGACCACACTGAGAAATGTTAAATGGATGAAATCAAAGGCCTTGACAAATATGTACATCAGTGCTACTTTCCCACCATTTAGGAAGACAGGCTTAATTGAGGTATTCACTAAACAATAGCTTTCTTTAGCTGGCAATTGGAATACTGCATATTCTCAATTAAGATGCCCTGTTGTCTTTGGAACAATACCAACAGAAATGACCTAACTTCTCCCTACCGATTCCTTACACCACAGGCAGCCCCAAAGCTGGGCACCCAGTCTGCCCAGTCCTGCCCTGGTTCAGAGCTTCCCCAGGGAGGTAAATGCCAAATTCTGGGTCCAGAGCCGCCCTAATGTGCGTATTGGTTCTTGGAATCTCTAAAGGTCTCTAATACAGTGAGGAGAAGTCTGAGACGCCTAGATTTGTCTGTTCCTGGGACCCACTGAATTGAAAGGATTTGGCAGGTAGAGAGAACAGCAGGAGAAAACAGGATGAACTCATTCGACAGACATTTATCGAATACCTAAAACCCTGAGAGAGTCCCAAACCTATTCCAGCCTGACTTGCATCACCACCGTGTTCTTAGAGCCATAGTGGGGATTAGATGACGTCAGTTAATGACACTAACTCCATGCCAGGCAGGAAGGAGGCAGCAGCTATTTCCACGGCATATGTACTCGGGGGGAACCCTGGAGGGATGCATGGTTCTCAGGTGCCTCTAGATTCACTTCAATGGCCAATTTTGCAGACGAACCCTCCTGTGCTCCTGGGTGAATCAGGTATCCCCCAGCTGGCTCTCAGCTCGACGCCCTCACTGTGTCACATGCTGGCGGTAGGAATATGGAATGAATCTGGGGGTGGAGCTACACAAGAAATATTTCAACCAGATGGCTCCCAAAGAGGACTGCGCTCCTCAGCCTCCCAGAGATCTTGTTTCTTGCCGTCAGTCTTATGCGAGGTATTTGAAGATTCGTTTTGAATTATGAAGGGCAAGTTTGGGTCCATTTACATTTCCCCATATTAATAGTATTATGTGTTCTATGCATTTCAACACCCCGCTGTTCCAGCTCCGCTCAATGTGTATCCGAGCTTATTCTACTAGAAAAGTTCTTAATATATTATATCATCTTTTTTATTCATAATTGACTTAATAAATCTTTATGCTTTTGCTGGCTTGAGCCAGATGACTTTTTTCATTGCCTTGCTTACATTTTTGAAAAATCTGGGTTGGAGAAAAATCAATTACTTTTAAATCACTGTTGTGCTTGAATAACATTTGTAAAGAGAATACAAAATGAAATTTCTACTTGACTAAGGCTGGCAATCAGAGTCTGAACTTTAAATCTTTTCAATTGATTTTCAATCTACTACTTTCTAAGAGGCATTATGTACAGTAGGTGTCAAATTTGGTATTTATGCAAATTTACAAGTGTACCGTTTAACTCTCTATGCTTCCCTTAGAAAAATTAAAATGAAAAAAAGATTAAATAAGCAAAAGTCACTGCTGTTAGGAAATCCTTAGGTTAACAGAGGCCGCGCTGAATGATATCAATGAAAATTGTTATAATTGTAACACCTGGTATTAAATACGTAAGTGCTCCGGGCCAGTCCCTGGACTAGGGGCTTAACTCTGCCTTCCTACTTGACAAGCATTTTATTCCAGATGAAATGAATCTAAAAAAAGTATTTGGAACTTTTTGTACCCTGAGGGAGAAACTAGAACCTGCCTTGCCCTCCCACTATAAAAAAATTAGACAAGCGGATGAAATACGTATTTTTAAAAAACCTTTTTCAGACGTTGGACAACAGGCAGAGCGTGACCGTGACTGCTGAGAGGAGGGAAACCAAACAGCTGAGTACCGTGAGCGGCCTGGCTTTCTGCCTGGAGCCGGCGGAGAACACAATGCTTTCACTGAGCTTCAGAGAGCTGCATTTGGGGGGCCAAGATGACTGGGAATTTTAGGGCAGGCTACCACAGAAGATAGAGCCTCTTAGAAAAAGAACATCAGAAATATGCTGTGCCCCTTGAGTTTGTCACTGAACATTGTGCATGAGTAAATGCAGCTCCGCAGGCCTAGCAAACAAGATGAAGGATGAACAATTCCCAGAACTCACAGAGGAATGGAAGGGATTCAAACTTTCACAAATCAGAGTGCACAGATATTTTATTGATCAGCCAGCGCATTCACCTTAGCAATAGGCTGTGACTGTGCCCTAAGTAAAAGCTACCACAGACTCATTCCCCAAAATAGGCAAGTAAACCTTGAACAGATCACTCAGGTTGGCAAGTAGCTTATCTACCTGCCACACACATACACACAAAAGGCCAGCACTTTGAAAAGAAAGACAATAAATCCAATCACTCAACAACAACTAACAATGACCAGCATCCAACAAAAATTATTAGACGTGTAAAGAAGCAGACATGTGTAATCCACAACCAGAAGAAAAATCACTTCAAAAGCTGGAGATCCAGAAGTAACAGATGACGGTGCGTAAACAAGGAATTTGCTCAAAATGTAAAGGAAAACACGAAAAAAATAAGGGTAGAAAGGACAATATAAAATAGAACTGAATGGAATTTCTAGATATAAAAAATACAATATAAAATTAAAAACAAAATAATACAGACTGATATTAATAGATTAGGTGCAGCAGAGGAAAAGATCAATAAACTTGAAAACCGA